TATATATATATATATATATATATATATAAAAGATATTTACAAATCAACTACCCTCTTCAATACATTTTTCAAATTCTTACTCAAATATCAACATTTATGATAAAATTTCAACTCATATTTTCCAATTTTTATCAAATTTTCTACAGTTAGATCGTGACACATGCAAATACATCGATTCGGTAGTTCAACAAAAGATCATCTGGGCAGTTAATTTGTAAATATCAACGTTTGGGATGGGCTTTATGTAACCATCCCAAAAATCGTCCAAAAGAATATATTGCTTTTTCCATAGAAAAATTGAAGGTGTCCCTACTTAATCCTAATGCAGGTTTTATTCTTGTACAGCCAATATATAATATGATAATAAAAACCTTTTACTCCACCAGCACAACTAATGCCATTTTCAAGATCCAAAAGTTTAGAGAAAAAAAAAATTGTAACATAACTTAGTAACAAAATCTCTTAAATAAAAATACTTCCTTAGATTTGTTTTCCTCCACTTCTCATCATCATTTTACATAAAAAAAAAACAGTGTGTGTGGAGTCCGGACATAAGCTATGTTCGGACAACGAACACAATACACTGGGGGTGAATTTTTTTTACTCCTCCGCTCTGTTTGGTGTATCGCGTTCGTTGTCCGGATGTAGCTTTGCGTACAGACTCCAGACGCAATACTTTTTCCTCTTCTCTTACTTTATCCTTATAATCATCCTCATTTTCTAAGTCAGCACAATCATCTTTTTGAGTAGTCGCTCTGGTGAACCATGAAATGGCATGAGTTATAATCTCGTTCCTAATCGTGGTTCTGCAAAACAAAGTTTGTGCTTAGAAAGCATATTAAAGGAAAAATAAAATAAAATCAAATGAAATCAAATTGTTATATTTTCTTTGAGATTAGTGCAACACATAATAACCAATCCAATATTAAGCGCATATTACGTCAAGACTCCGAACGTAGAGGTACGTTAGGATTTTAATATTCGTTGTGTTATAGGAATATCTTGCTGTGTTACACGAATATTCTATCAGAATTATTTGTAAAAAATGAAGTGTTATTCGAGTATTATGTGTTGTTATTCAATTTCTTAGTGGTGTTATTGAAATATTCCCCTGCATTACTTGATTTGGGGTTGTGTTATTCGACATATTCTACTTTTTATTTCAATTTCTACTATGTTATTGGAATAACACAGCCTTAAATCAACTAACGCGGGGAAATATTTCAATAACACTTTATTTTCCACAAATAATGCTAATGGAATATTCCTTTAACACAGCGGGATATTCGTATAATACAACGACAATTGCAATCTGACTGTAGCTTTACGTTCGGAGTTCTGACGTACTATTTTTCCTCCAATATTATATTGCACTCAGCTCAAACAAAATTTAAGAGTTAGAACTTCATCCAGATTAAATTTAGATCAAAATATTCCGACTCAGGAGTTTTCTTTGATTAAGATACTAACATTTTCAACTAAACTTCTTTTTCTAATCCACATAATTAGAATAAAAAAGCACCATAAAAAAACTTTTCAAGTGTCACCCATCCCAGTACTGCTCTCACCTAAATATGTAAATTTGGAGTTCTAATGGACTTTGATGCATGAATGTTGGTATCATCGCGCCCAGTAAATAAACCAATAGATGAAAAGATGTATTTCATCTTTAAAAAGATAGTTATGGTGGTATTTTTGATGCGACGATAAAGATTTGAGTGACATGCATGTAAATATAATCATTTAGGTGTTAGATATGTAAAAATGTAAGAATTGTGTGGTATGTATGTAAATGCCCCTCCTAAAAAAAAGTAAGGAAAAGGCTATTACGCTATTTCATAATCTTGTTCCATTTGGTCTTGCAGCTTCTTCGCCTGCCCAGTAAAAAAACCACCATGAGAGCATCTTTAGAGCATACTTTGCCTCCGAATAAAGTAAT